CAATATATTTATTTTGTTTGTACAAAATAAAAAAATATTTTTTAACGATACAATAGTCTTTGTCAGGCTTAACATCGACGAAAATTCAACGCGAAGCGACACGCAACAGAGAAAAATTTCAACATCGGATACGTTAAACTATTTTTTCGTACATAAATCGGTTATCCGAAATATCAGTTATACGAACAACCCCAGTCCCCAATTGATTCGGAAAATCGACGCTCTACTGTAATTGCTTTTCTAGATCTAATGTGATAAACAATTTATAAATGTTGATTTTAATTATTAGTTTCATGATATTGAAAAAAGACTACTAAATTAATAATTAGTAAAATTATTTAAATTTTTCTTGCAGAAGCAAATCTCACTTTTGGCTGAAACACGTTTGGAACAAGAAAAATGGATGGCAGCATTGAAACAAGCCAGCAGAGTGTAAGTAATAGAAGTAGTTTTTGAATTATATATAATGTAGAAGTATTGTTACATAAGGAATGATATATTTGATTGATATTTAATTCAGAATACTCTGTTGTTTTCCTTAAAATATTGCTTTTGCAAAAAATTCAAAAGAATATGCAAGAAAATTTATTTTCATTTTACAAAGTAAGAAGTTGTAGGATTTCTTTGATTAGATAATGATGATGATAATAATAAAGATGTTTTACATTGGAAGTATAAGAACAATATTGAAACAAGGAAGTTTTATCTGCTGAAATATATTTCCATGAAAATTCTCAACATTTTTGAGCCAAATTTATGTATGTTTTCGTTAGTCTGTTATGTTCAACGAGCGATTATTTATTGTGACATTGTCACAATGCAGGGCTGCAAGTTTTAATCTCCTTTAAATTATTCGATACCTGTAAAATAGTACTTAGATTGTCTTGTACGCTTTATAAAGATATGTTTTGAAATTTAAAGACATTATAATCAGTACAATGATGGCCTTCTAATGCCATGGTTAATAAGTAAAGGTTATGTTGGGTTGAACATAAAGTTTTAATGTATTTTAAGAGCTGTGGTTATCTGAAATAAATGTGTAATTTAATTATAACACTTGTGAAATTTAACACATCATTGTTGCTGATGTGACATATTGTTCTTTGTTTTAGAATGTTTAGTTTAAATTAAATGTTACTACATTAAAAGTAAATGTTAAGTGGTGTTGGTTACATTTGTTTTAATGTGCATGATCATACTCAAGTTATAAATCCACGGACTATCCAAGTTATAAATACATGGATAGTCCAGAGGATAGTCTCGTGAAATTTTCATAATTTGTCTGAGATTGATGGAATAATTTTTGAAATTGATTTGCCCCTGTACATCATACTTTTTCTGTTAGCAACAGCGTCCTGCTGGTTATTTGCTTGTGCCAGTAAATATAGGTAGTGTGAGTCGACCAAAATGGCTGCCACAAAGGGTATAACGTGCCTGATAACATGAGAGTTATTTGTGTGTCGTCTTTGTAATAACTTTTCTCTCTGTAGTCGAAATGCTTTATCCACATTTGTGTCTGACATTAATCCTAGTTGATTTCATAGTTATTTAAGTCATGATGATTACACTTTGTGACATTTTAGAATATGTGGGTGATTGAAAAAGATGTCTTATAGAAGGAGAGATGCTAAAACTGATAACTTCATATCTATCCACCTCTTTCTCAGCAAATAATTCACTTCAGTTTCAGCAACATCTAATTTTGCTGATCTTTTATTTTAAATTATTTGTCTTTTATTTTTACAAATGTTTTCAACCTATCTAATATATGCCATTGTCAGGTTTAATATTATAAATGTTTCAAAATGTAACGTACCATTTTCAAATATTTTACATATAATAAATAAAATAAGTAAATAAATAAAACATAGAAAACAAAGCTAACTAAAAAGAAACATGATTTAAGCGTTTTTAAGCCCCCATTCTTTTTTCTATTATATATTTCCATGCTGTTGGAAGTGCATTAGCATCCCTAGCATTTAGGCAACGGTTTTTCATTTTACTTTTATAAATTTCCCTCTTTTCCATCTCCAGTGCAATGGATGGAGAGTGCAGAGTGCACCATTTTAATGATTTTCACCTCTTCCTATTTTACAACCACTCCTTCAGTCTGTGCCATAATCACTAATATTATATCCTTTGTCAACTTTGTATCTGTGTTCTCTCAGACGTACTGCCAGGTTTCTTCTGTTCACACACACACACAATCCTTTGCAATTCCCAACTGTTGATTCTCAAATGGTGTTTTATATACTCCAGATTTCTTTTTCTTTCTTTTTTTTTTTAAGCTGTCTTTTTTGTTCCATAATAAGCTATAGATATTGGATGCTCTTTTATAGACCATTCTCAAGTTTTTATAAGAAAAAGTGTATCCAATATCTATAGCTTACTAAGAAACGATAAAGACAATGTAAAAAAAGAAGAGAAAGCTGGGATATTTAAAATACCATTTGAAAGTCAACAGTTAGGAATCAAAAAAGATTATGTGGGTTTGACTAGAAGAAACTTGGTGGTACATCTGTGAGAACATAGATACAACATTGACAAAGGACATAATAAAGAGGTTGCAGCCGATGTGTTCATCGCGTAAACGTGTACATCGGACATTCACCGCCGCCTTTCTGTAAGCCTAGAAGTTTGACAATGGCATTTGATACGTTGAGCATGATTCCACTGATGTTCCAAATGCCATTGTCAAACTTCTAGGCTTACAGGAAGGTAGCAGTGAATGTCTGATGTACACGTTTACACGATGAAAACATCGGCTGCAACCTCACTAATATTAGCGATTATGGTGCAGACTGAAAGAGTGGTTGTAAAATGGAAAGAGGTGAAAGTCATTAAAATGGTGCACTCTCCATCTATTGCAATGGAGATGGAAAAGATGGAAATTTATAAAAGTAAAATGAAAAACCGTTGCCTAAATGCTAGGGATGCTAATGCACTTCCAACAGCATAGAAATATATAATAGAAAAAAGAATGAGGCTTAAAAACACTTAAATTATGCTTGTTTTATTTGTTTATTTATTTTATTTATTTAATATACACACTTCTTTCAATTTATTTTAAAGTTAAATTAATTTTTTGAACTTTAAATATGTAAAATATTCAAAAATGGCATGTTCCATTTTGGAACATTTATGATATTATTCCTGACGATGGCCTATATTAGATAGGTTGAAAACTTTTGTAAAAATGAAAGAATTTTAAGATCATCAAAATTAGGTGTTGATGATAACTTTTGTTTTATTTCCCACGTTTTTTACAGTAATTTATCTTTTGGGATTGTATGCATATGTATTGAGTTTGATGAACCTTTAGACTTACATCCAAGTACACAGCAATACTTATTATTTACAATTTTAGGCTGAACACTTTCTAATTCTAACAGATCACAGACTTTATACCCATAGCAGCTGCCATTACGTAGTTTGTGCTAATACCACTAGGTGTCAGATGTATCGTTGGCACAAGCAAATTATCTAACTCCTTTCAGAAGAAAATTTTTGAATCGAAATAATATGACTTTTGGTTTGCATCAGAAGTTCATATATAGTTAATCGAGGCCTCCTGCCCCTAAGCTTTCTATATTTTGTCTTGACTTTAATAACTCCATTTTGAGATTAAGAAAGGACGGACAGATGGACGACAGTGGGAATTTATGTCTACAATTTTTTCAAATTGCAGCTCAATAAGTTTGGTGCTAAACATATTGCTATACTCTGATACTTTTACTAATTAGGTAAATGGTTTACTTAATACATGATAGTGTAAGAACTGAGGAGGTAGAGTGCCAAGCTTCTCCCCACTTACCGGTAGTTTGTATCAGAGATGGCTGTTCAGGAGGGCTATTGTGAGTGGGGAGGTCCATGAGTAAGTTGAGTTTCCCGAATAATTACACAGGTTTAACAATAAGAACATATTTAATTAACTAACTTATACAGACAAATGCAAATCAAAAAGGTTAGAATAATTCTGTCTAATAAGACTTTTACCTAACTACCCAAGAACTAACTCTAAAGACAATATAATCGACTCTTGAATTATGATTGAGAGAGTAACGAGGATCGAAAGAGAGTACTGAAAGGGGTTTAAGTGAATAACTCACAATGTATGGGAGGTTGGTAAAATGCTCCTGGTTCGGCGTTTTCTAATCGTAGTTTTCCTTCGTTGATGGTATGGTGCAATGGATGGTATGGCGGTATGGGTCTGATGTCCCTTGAGGTCCGCTCTTCTATGTCCACTTCAGGGTGTATGCCGGCTGTCTGCTTGTCGGGAGCTGCATCAGCTGTCCACTGTTGATGTGTCCGCTTGTGTGTGTCCTCTGCTGATGCCCGCCTCGGCTGACTGCTCTTCGGCAGTCTGCCAGGATTAATATTTGTAGTACCTTATAGTATACGGTTTCAGAAAATTCATTCTTTGTATTAAATATTTAACACATACTTATTACTGTACTTATGTTCTAATACATATACCTACTTTATATAATTTTCTATGCAGTATGTAATTATAAATTCAAGTACAAAAGAAGAAAGGAATGATTGGAGAAATATATATTATATACATTGCCATTCGAACAACATAAGTATGAATGTATTCAATGCGTATTGAGTTTACTGTCCCTGATTATACAACAGTGTATGTTGATGCGACATTTATAGAGGAACCTTTGGATTTTTATATAGAAGTTTATAAAGGATCCTTTCATAGAATTTTAGGATATCATTTAAATTAATTTTCATAATAATTTTTTAAGTTGTATGTTGGTGAAAAGTAAGAATAAAATTTTATAAAGGTGAAAAATTCAAAATATTTGCCTTAAACTAAACATTTAATTTTTTGCCAATATATTGAAGTTGCCATAATAATAATTTTTGCAATTTATTATTGAAGCTTGATAATAACGATGATTTTATATCTAATTTTCTTATTAACTGTATTGTTAACACAGTTATTGATGATTCTGCAATGAATATATAGGGAATGAGCAATTATTTATTGTGACATTGTCACAATGGCAGGCTGCAATTTTTAATTTATTTAATTTAAAATATATGCTATCCAGCTCAAATTAGTAGTGGCTTGTCCCCATACATCATTCTTTTCCTTTAACAATAGTGTCATGCCAGTCATCTATCTAATACCTTTTGGGGAACTCTTTGAATTGAAATAATGTAACTTCTGGTTTGCATCAGAAGTTCATATATATTTAATCGGAGCCTCCTGCCTGAGGTTTCTATATCTGGTCTCATCTTTCATCTAACTCCGTTCTCAAGATTAAGGAAAGACAGATGGACGACAGTGGAAATTTATGTTTACAATTTTTTAAATTGCAGTCCAATTAAATAGAGAATTTTTTAAGTATTTGAAGGATTGGATCTTCTGACATCCTTACAGTTTAAAAATTCAAACTTGATTTACAAACAGAACATTGATTATACATGGAGACATTTATACTGAAATTAGATATTTTTATACATTCTAGTACTTGGAAGAATGCACAGTATGAAGAATCTCTAATAAGAGAACTTGAAACTCAAGGTTTACAGTTGACTAAAGAAAAACATAATTATGTTGGTGAGTAAAGTTTCATTAAACTATCTTTTCATATTTGTTACCTGTTTAAGTTTTATTTATTTTTTAATTTAGAAAAACTTCAGGAAGAAGTTACAGCTTTAAGAAATGAAATGGATAAAAATGAGGTTATTGTGTTTTGTTAATTTTATTTAAAATTTAAGTTTAACTTTTTATTTTGTTTTAGTTTAGCTAAATTTTTCTTATACTAATTAGCTAAATCTTGATGAATTTCAATTTCCATGACAAGAAAGTTGTTTTCAAATAACTACAGATCAGAATAAAGATTCATTGACTTTTCTGTTATGCAGTGATAAAAAACGTGTGGAATTTGGAAAAGTAACACAATAAGTTAGTTATTCACTAAACTTTTTGATTTCTTGAGTTATCGGTTGATTTGATAAACTTTTTTGATCCTATATGAATATATAGTGCATTATTTTAATTTTTACACATATAATAAGAATTATTGATTATCATTGTATCAAAAGCTCATAAATACAGTTTGTATCAAAAGCTCATAAAATACAGTTTGTGGACAAGTGTGTGTGTGTGCACGTATGTGTAACTTAATTGTCAAATAAGGATAAACTAGCCACTGTGGTTACTCAACTGAATTAATCAATGTATTGTACTTTTAATAGTAAGTGATTTTTAATTCAGCTTTTTAATTGTCAGTATAAACACTATTACATCTAACTATGTATAATAAATTATAAACTATTACAGAAGACATTAACAGAAAATCTCTATGACTCCAAGACAAAAGGTGTTGTCTCCAAAATAATTTAAAATCAAGTTTCACACTTAGCATCATACCCAATTATTTATTTAATTACTTTATTTATTTTACATACACAGTGGGAAGTGTCATTGGACAATTGATGTCCTCCACAAATTAAAAAAAAATAATGAAAAAGACTCTTAAAAGCAATAACAAAAGAAAAAATATACATATAACAAACAATTTCATGGAAAAACAATAAGCTAAACAAAATTACACATGAAATAAAAAAAATGTGTTACAAATGAACAGAAGGTTGCATCTATTGCAAGAATTTAATTAGTATCCTTTATCAATATTGTCCAATATCTAGTATGATAAAAGCAGTATAATAATAACAGAACATTTTTCATACTACATATTGGGTGATGTCAATAAAGGATACTAATTAGGTTTAATGTCAAGTGTACAACTTGATTTTCAACTTTTTTTTTTTTTTTTTTGATAATCTTTTGCCTTGAGGTGGTAATAGAGTTGTTATCTTTGCATTATCTAGAAAATGCAAACAAAAAAGTTAAATTTCTTTTGTTATATATAAAATATATAACGTAAATTTTAAAAAATTACCTAAAAAATAAAAATATTTGTATATTACAAATATATATGTATTATTTGTAAATTAACATTTGTAATATAAATAATATATATTTATGCATTGAAATTGGGTAGATCCAGAGGTTTAACATACATCTACCTGCATGCAACTTGTACACTGATAATCATATATTGTGTTGCTTCATAGTTAATAACTGTCTGTGTAAATCAAAATTATATTTTGATATTTTCAGGAATTAGAAAAGTTAACTTTAGAATTAGAGAAAGAAAAAAGCAAACTGCAAGAAATGATTCAACAGTTAGAAAAAGAACATAAAACAACTCAAAAGTAAATATTTACAATAAATTAGTTTTAGATTACTAAAAATTATCAAGTTTTTAAAATTTTATATTTATTTAGAGAATGTGAAGAAACTTCAGAAACATTGAGGAGGCTGGAAGATGATAAAAAACAATTACAACAAACTACAAACATGCTGCAGTTAACTTTAGAAGTAAAATATATAATTAATGTTCATTCATTTTAATTATTTTTAATTAAAATTTTATTCAAAAATTAAAACTTAAATTTGTTTCAGAATCTTGCCGAAGAGAGAGAACGAACAATTCATCTTTTGAGGCAGAAGGAAGAAGAAACTCAAAATCTTTATGTTACGTCGGAAGAATTACAAAATGCTCTGAAGGGTATCGAAGAAGAAACAAAATTCATATTAGATGAAAAAAATGAATTAGAACAGAGGTAAAAGAATTGTGCTTAATATTTTATTTGTGATATATTTTTATGACTAAAATATGTTTAATGAATTGGTTGTTAATACAAGATAGAATATGAATATAACATTATCTGTACTACCATAATCTATTTGATCAAATCATGATGAAATAATTTTTATGAAAACATTCCCTTTATTTCATTATTTTTCTAAAGGTAGGAATTAATTTGTATAGATTCCATTTTATATGTTTTATATTATCAGTAGAAAGTCAGAAAAATACAGCATTAATATAAAGAAATGCTTTCAAATTCTGGAATATACATTTCAGTCAATTTTTAGCATTTTTAATAGATAGAAAATAATGAAAATGTTCAAATATTCTAAGACAACTCAAATTATCTTTGGGAAACAAATTAAATTGATTTTCATTTATTTGTTAAATCCAATCTAACTGTTGGTGAGAATATTGCACAGTAAAGTGTCATTTTATTGTGAATTGATTTACACAACCTCTTCAGTAATTGGATTGTTGTATAAACGTTCCAAATCCAAACCTTTGAATCCACTATAAAGCACCAAATTTGAAACTGATTTAGATTTTTTGAGTAGTCTCAACTCAAAACATTGTTCTCCTTCCTCACTTGTGACGACTAATCTTGCCTTTACAATCAATTGAACTAAAATTAGATTTACTTGTGAAGAGCAAAATTATACTGATCAGATAATTTGTAGTGGATTGATATTTTGAATCAACAAATTAAAATAATAAACAGCTAATGGATTTTAGAAAAATGTTCTGCCTCAATCAATAAATTGTAGTTTGTAATAGAGTATTTTCTGAAAAATTTAAATTCATGTCTAATGTGAAAAATGATACTTTTTAAGAAGAGTCTCAATGCTAGAAATTTTTGATGATGTCTTTCATATAGTATTTGATATAGAATGTCTTACAAATAGTATTTTCAGTATTAAATTCTATATTGTTATTTGACACATTAATATTGTTTTACTTTGTCATATGACAGTGTAAGGAAATATATCAAACATTGAAAAATAAGAATGTGATATTTTTATCTGATAGGAAATAGAATTCCTTTACAATGTTCAAATTTGAAAATTGATAAGAGATCATTGATATAGAAAAATATAAAATACAGTGAAACTTCAATCTATCATTTTTGGCAGAACTTGGGGGAAAAATGACTGATGCAGGAAATTTATGATGTTGATGGTTTTATTGTTTATCTTCTATGAAATGAATATTTTCCAGTGATATGCCTATATAATGGCTTTCTGTAATACTAAACAATATGGCACCTGCATACAAATGTGTATTTATTCTACATTTTAAAAAATTATTAAGAATACTAATTTGTTCCATTTTCTTTTGGTAAGAATACCTAATGTATTGACATATTTGAGGCAGCCAATCAAAAAAAATTCAATATTGTGTAAAAATGCATTACTTATATGGTAAACAACAACAGTTTAATGTGTGCATTTACCATTACTAATAAATCTGAAGACGTCTATATCAGTATATAAGATTATGTGGAAAAGTGCATTTCAAATTTTTCGGATAACCAGGTCAAAATACATTTTCATACGTCACAATCTTTAAGTATGTAATATGCATATAATTTATGATGGCAGCCCTCTTAACTTCTGTTTTTGGTGCTCGAAACCTTGCTGCACTAGGGCTGCAGTGGCTAACTTAAAGTGGAAATAGCTTAACTGTTTTTTTAACAAAGTGGCTTTAAGCACTTTTACCAGAAAACTTGCCAAATATATACAATAAAATAAATTTAATTTCTATGTAAATAATCATAAGAATTATGTAGGAAAAGACAATAATGTGTCTGTCTTTTGGCATGATTACAATATTACAGTACTGTTATGTATTTTATTACTCTATTAGATAAGTATAGTATATTAAGAGGAGCTATTTGGGGAATTGGTTTAGTTTTCTACATGAATATTAGTTTGTATATGAAACTTTGACTTTTAATTTTGAATTTAACTTTTAAATATGGGGAACTTTTATTATTAGTACACAAAAATCAGTGTCTCAATTTAGCACCCTCTATTGTGGGTAGAACTATTGATGCATGATAATATTTTTCTTGTAGTTAAAATGCCGAATGAACATTGAGGGAACAAAGAATACGGGAAAAATTAACATTGTATAAATGGGTCCTTATTTGGGACTGGAGAAAATAACAAATAGATGTGGGAAAACTATTGATATGGGAATGATAGATTAATTTTAAAATACAGTGAAACCTCAAACTATTTAATAATTGATACTCAGTTTACTAAGTAATTATTTAAAATCACATGAAAGTTTTGTAAAGTAACATCTGAACTTGAAGCAATTCTCACATAGCTTTATACAAAAATATATGATTAGCTAGTAAAGCCATCTTGAATATTTCAAATATTTGCCTCAAATAGATTAAGCACTAACATAGTTTTAAATAACATTCTGAAATTTTAGTAATTAAGAAATTATTTTATAAAATAAACTTTTAAGTATAAGAAAAACATTTTTAAAATTTCATTCTTTTAATATTTTATATTTATTATTTCAAGTGCTAAATTATTTTAATACTAAAAATAATTGTTTAATGATGATATTATTTAATTTAGATATTTTGAAATTCAAATGTATGCACAAATGTTACATGAAGAAAAGCAAATATTTAGTGAACAAGCAAATCAATTACTTGATTCTCTAAATGTAAGTATTTAGACATTTTTGATATTTAAATATTTCTTTATAAATTTTGTATTATTTATAAAATGTTAGTTTTAATATAAACAATCCTTGAAGTACTTCTTTCCTATCTTTCATATTATAGGAGCAAGCTAAGAACATTCATAGCAACAATATTAAATGTTTTGATTATCATTAACAGACAAAATAATTTTGATATTCCATTAACATTTATTCTCAGCTGGAAAACTAAAAATTATGTCTTGATTTTGCATGACAAACTTTATAATCTGTAAATATAGTTTTACACTTTTATACAATGTTTTTTTAATTCAGTAATTTCTGTGTAGGAAAAATAAACACCATTAACAGAGTACCAGAATTTATAATTGAAAATGTTTTTAGCCTACTTAACAGGCTATTGGAAGAAGAAAAAAATTTTTGTTCTGTTCAGTTTTTTATTGTAATTTTCTGTCTTGCTTTTGAAGCCTTATGATGGCCCATTAATCAGGCAAAAACATTTATGATAAAAAATATTAATTTACTGTTATGTGTTTTTCTTATATTCTTTGAAAAACTCCAGATTTTATATGGCTTTCTGGTTTAAAAAAAATTATTAAAATAATTCTTATATAATTTTGTGTTTTATATACTGTATGTATTCTAATAAGCAGGCAGCTGCAAGATGAAAAAGTTTTAAACATCATGTTGTGTATTACAATAAATATAGTATTAATTTTTTAAAAATCTATAATTGAAAGAAAATGCAAACTTTATGAATTTATAAAATATAACTTACATACATAAATATTTTTTAAATTGAAGACTAAATACAAATAAAAATTTGATGTTTCCACGCATTCTTTACAACCACAGGAACACAACTTGTGCGTTTTTAATTGTCCAAAGCTTGTTTGCTCAAATCAAAAGTCTGGAAAAAATTGTCCTTTCTCTTGGATAACTATCTTAATGTTTTTTTTATGTTATTATTATGGTTTTGAAGTTTGATGAAACAAAACCTAATGTCAGGTAGATGAAGCTATTATCCACATGTACTGTACCTCTCAATTAAATGAAAGTAGTAGTTAATTGTCAGACAAATGAAAGATTATACAAATTTTCTATGCAAAATATTAATCTTGATAAAACTGTAACATTGCCATATTTTCCTATCTCTGTTATATATAGCAGAGGGAAAGTACGGCAATTAGTCAAAAATATAATCCCCGAGATTTTTACACTTTTGGACTCAGGACCTTGAAACATCAAGAAATGCAAAAAAAATTTAGGGGTTTTTTTTCTGTATGTATGGATGTTAATGTGTGTGCAGGAGGGGCATGATTTTGTTCACCCTCTTTGAAGCTTAATAACTCCTGTGCTTTTTGTCAAAAATTTCTGAATTTTTCTGGGGAGATCTGCATATAAGGGGATCAATGCTATTAAATTTTGGTGGTTAAAGGCCAACAGAATAGGGGGATAAAGAGGGGTTGTGTGTCATATCTTGAGTAGGGTTGGATTTAATGACGATTGTACTCATTAGCATTTACAATTTTTTATAAAACCTGTCCCTACCCTCAAAATTAAGCATTTTGCATTTTTTATATTTTTAATTATTATAAAGTTTTTAATATTAAAATATTGTAAAGGATGGTTTCACCAAAATTTTAAATGTTGCTGGATTTTTTCATATAGAATTACATAATTTAAAATAAATTTAAACTTTTGTATTACTATTGTAATTCTTAAACAGTTCAAAGTGGAGGATGTTTTTGTTTTCAAGAAAAATATATTGGAGATAAAATTTAGTCATTTACTATTTCAATTTTAATTAATTGTGCTCATATTGCTTAAACACAATAGTGTAACAACTATTAAACAACAATTACAGGCCCATGACATATGGCAGTCCAGTCCAGTCCCTGGGCAATAAATTAAAGTTCTTTAACTATAAAAGAAAAATATTAATATTTTTGTGTGTTTGTTCTGTCTAGGAATGATAAACATAAACTGAAAAAAAATGTTTAAAATGCATAGTATATCTTTTCTCATAACACTTATCATTTTGCAACAGTGCAAAATGATAACACTTACATTACATATTTTGCTTAAGGGACTAAAATTTCTAATTGTGTTTCTGCCTAAACATTTAGAATAAAATACTTATTTTTATACTTATTTGCAAACATTTATCAATTTATCTATAATTGTTACGTGAGGATACAAAATAATTTATCAGTCAGTCAGTTATTTTGATTTCCAGATTAACTGTATAAGAAATGAATCACCAATTTGTATATTGTAAGTTATTGAAACATTATTTTTATTATTAACTAGATCATCATCATCTGGCACTAAGTAAAATGAACATAATAAAATTCATGATCTTTCATCCTGAAGTATAGATATCTCCAACTTCTATTTCTTTTGTGTTACATCTAAATTTATTCCTATAATTGTTTTTATATTTGACATATTGGATGTGTTTATTGAAATAAATATAATCTTATAAAAAAGAAAACACTTTACCTGGAGATTAATTAGTGTTTCAGTCCTTTTCAAAGGCCTTCATCATGCTGTAACTTATGGAACAATCTTTCAAATATAATTAGAACACTTGAGACACTGTACCCTACATTTTTTACAACCTTGTTTTGTTGCCTTTGTGACTTCTTTTTAAGCATATTGGCAATCAGGGAGGTGTGTTTCTCTTCCTTTTTCCAGTTCAATAATGTAGCATATAAACAATGAAGGGATATTCTGATGGATAGTCCTGTATCTGGAGTGCTTTGTGACTTGGTAATATAAATGCTGATAAACTGCACTCCCTAAATACAAGCAGGAAATACATTTGTATTTCAGCTAAGTCAATGACATATTGATTATTTGGATGAATGAACCTAATATTCAGTGTTTCTTCTTGGACATTATTGGCAACCCAGTTGGCCTTAAAACTGCTTAGAACAAGACAGTAATCTTTGTGCACTTTTAAAACATCATCATCTCATTTAATTGGGGGTATAAGATTACAATGGTATATAGAAAGCCCGGATATAACCCATCATTTAATCCAAGACTTTCCCAGAACCTTATGCACTTAATTGGCAATATATAATGGGTGTGAGCTGCTTGGCTAGCGTGTGAGTGAACTTTTGAGAGGAGTTGAGACTCAGTAAATTAGAGCATGAAAGCGATAATAAAGAAAGGAAAAATGACTTGTGTAAAAATTTGGAAATTTGCTAACAGGTTATCCTTGGATTTAATTATAATACTATTAATAATTGCTGGAGTTGAATCCAACCCAGGCCCTCTGGCCCGTTTCCCACAAGGATTAAGTCATTTGGAAATGCAAAAAAGGGGGCGTGGCAGACCTTGCAAGGTAAGTCCAAAGGACGAGGAGAAAAAGAATCAACTAGCAGAAATTTTAAGTGATGAATATTATCAAATAGACGGAAATAGTAAACAACTCTCTGAATCTACGAAGAGTCCGAAAATTTATGAGTACTTCGAACCAGTAAGAGAACTAGAATCACAAGTTATTGACGAATCTCAATATACATTAAAATCCATATATGATCTAATTCAGGATAAATTTAGTCAGCTAAATATGGAGATTCAATCGATTAAATCTGAAATAAACATATTGAAAGAAGAGAACAAGAATTACAAAGACGAAATGAAAGGAATCAATCAAAAGCTACAAGAACTGGACGAAAAATCGAAAAATAATACTCATCTTAAAGGTATGTTGGAATTTGAAATTGATAAACTTGTAAACGAGAAAACTAAAAAGAATATAATCATTATGAACTACCCATTCAAATCACTAGATTACTTAAAAGAAATTAAGTTATTCATAAATAATGATTTAAGATTAAAAAATAAAGAAATAATCAAATTAAATAATAGAGAAAATAAACCTATTGTCAAAATAATTCTTGATTCTATTAACGCAAGAAATGAGATTTTTAGAGAATTTTGGCAGTCGAAATCAAACTTAATTGGCAAGGACAAGGAAAAAATAATATTTACAGCCAATCTATGCAGACGATCGAGGCTACGAAGGAAATATCTACAGATTAGGATTAAGCAGGAAAAGTTAAATAAGAATAAAATAATAGTTAGAGATGATTATTATATAAAAGATAACTTAAGATATACGTATGACATTAATTCAGATAAGATTATTCAAATAGATCATTTTTTAGTAGTAGTATGATCATAGATCCAGAGGAAGTAGAGAAAAAAGACGTAATATACTTAATACTGAGACAACCCAAAATAAATCAAATTTTCTCCAGTATTCCAAAAATAGTTTGGAGAATTGTGCTGATAAGGAAAATAAGAATAATTTTACGTCTGTAAAAAATACCAACAAAGGCAGAGAGAATTCATGTATAAGTTTTTGGAATATTCAAGGACTTCGAGGGAATATGTTCAGCGAGCCAGTAAAAAATTATATAAAATCTCATACTATAAGTGACTTCACGGAAATCTGGATTGCTGATTTCATTAAAGAAGACAAGGTGTTTCTAGAATATGAGGTTGTACAGCGGAGCTCAGAGGACAAGTAGAATGGGCTGTCCAGCAGGTGGTCGATTATTGTTAATTAAGAGGAACTTTGGTAAACTTTTTAAACACTGTATAACAGGAAAATTTATTTTTCTGGTGATCGAGCTGGAACATAGAATTAATATATGTTGGAAAAATTATATTTAGGAATTATAATTATCAATCTGTTTACTTCTTCTGAAAAGTTANGCTCACAGGACAAGTAGAATGGGCCGTCCAGCAGGTGGTCTATTATTGTTAATTAAGAGGAACTTTGGTAAACTTTTTAAACACTGTATAACAGAAAAATTTATTTTTGTGGTGATCGAGCTGGAACATAGAATTAATATATGTTGGGAAAAATTATATTTAGGAATTATATTTATCAATCTGTTTACTTCTTCTGAAAAGTTAATATTAAATGAAATTGAAAGAAACATCGATCAGAATTGTTAAAAATTAATAACAAAATTATTAGATTTTCTAAGAGTAATTTCCCATGGTGTTATTTAAAAATTAATTTCAAAATTCCATGTGTTTTGTGGCAGTAAAGACTCAAAGGAGCTAGTACAGAGTTTTGATCTATACCGTTCACCTAAATGTACTAACGAAAAAAGCTAAGTATGTAGTAGTCCATATAGTCAAGATCGATACAATTTATAGACAATACAAATATGATCGCAAACTCAAGTTGATGTAATAATTTTAATATCTAAACAATAATAGAAATTTAATTATATTGTACACGTGTAAAGTAAAAATGCTTTCATTGTAGCACAAATTGATCCTCTCTAGAGGGTATTTTCCAAGTTGTACTTTAAACTTATCAGTCCATGTGATAGAGATATTAGTTTAACTCGGGTTGATGAAGATGTATTTTTTAGCAATAGTAAGATTTGATTGTTATTAATATACATCCCTTGTAACAGGCCACGGCCTTAATACAAATAAAAAAACTTGATTGATTGATTGAATTGGCAATGTTCAGGGCTTTAGTACAATGAGAGTATACACACTGCACAAATATTGTGGATTGGCATGAATAAATTTGCTACCTAATTCAGATGAGCAAAAAATTTTGATACAATCTGGATGTTATAAGATGGTTGTCTGAGGTGTACCGAGAATTCCTAGCAGCAGTTGTCAAATCAAATCAGAAAGAATCATAAGAAATACAAGATCAAAAACTACAATGCACATCTACACAACAAATATAAAGAAGTTGTACAATTCAATGATACTAAGAGAAACCCAGATGTATACAAAACATTTTGATCATTTAGACTCTGAGAATAAAATACCATGAGTATATAGGATATTTTTGAAGGATGAGAGACAAACAGGACCATGAATATATTGAGGGCCATGGCAAGATCATTGATGAATAGGATTAAGGAATAATACATACAATAATACATAATTATTTTATTAAGGTACTGATAAGTACATACCTTGGCCCCGCTTTTGGCATTACCAAGGAGAGAATACAATAATATAATATATACAATCATTTGATATTAAAAAGGACAATAATATTACATAATTTTAAGTTATCTAGGATGGCAGTATCACATGTATATGATAGTAGAGACGCGTGTAGGAGTCCATGGAGTTACATGGAGATAAAATAAGTGACTGAAAAGAACAGCCAAAATGACACAGAACATAATAAGAAGAATGGTATAAGGAGTTAAAGGAAAGTTTGTTTGTTATTAATATAGCTGATTTGTTTGCTGATCCTTTCGAAGGCAGTATAGGTATTTTTTGTGGTCCATATGTCAGTTGGCCTGCAGGGCCAGTTGATGCCTTGCTCATGCAGGACGATTTGTAATTCAGTCCTTTCTCTTGCGAAGATAGGACAATGGAAGAGGTAGTGCAAAGATCCATCCTCTATGTCGCACGTTGGGCATAGCTTCGAAGTGCTATGGTGAAATCTCTCCAAGTAAGTAGCGTACCTGCCATGATTTGTTAGTATCTGGGAGTTATAATGGTTCGGGTTGTACCAATTATTTTCCAAAAATTCCTCAATATTAGGGATAAAAGTATAAGTAATATGGTCACTTTGTAGGTCCCACCTTGTCTGCCATTGTCGAATTGTATCCGTTCTTAGTATGTTATTGATTGTATGTCTACTAATCTTGCTGTATGCTATGGGCAGTGTGTCATCAACTGCCGCTTCCTTTGCGAGTAGGTCTGCTCTCTCATTTCCCCGTTCGCCATGATGGGCTTTGATCCATTGAATGTCATACCTGTTTGTAGAGAAATATATCATTTTCCTTATTGTTTCTGCTAATAGATGCAGATTACTGTTTTTGATCAGTTGTAGTGAGGAGAGTGAGTCAGTAAGGATCTTTATATTATGATTGTTATATGTAGAGTTAGTATAATCAATAGCCATCTTAATGGCCCACATCTCGGCCTGAAAGATATTGCAGTCGCTTTGTAGACGAAATTTGCAGTGTTTAATTTCCATATTGTCCTCGTATAAAACATAACTGCAGCCTACACAGTTGTCATGTTTAGAACCATCTGTGTAAATTTGTAAAGTATCGCCGTTAGCATGTATACCTTTGTCAAAGATAGTATTCCATGGTGGTAAGGTATTACTTATCTGTGAGGGCCATTCTACATCCTGATAGGTTATTTCACGAGTAGTCGTTATCATGTTATCACCTCTTTTAATCCTATAAAGCTTTTGTCTTTGAGTGATAATAAGGTCGAGTGGTGGTTTCCTGGTGATGATTTGCAAACAGGTATTGCTTGTGGTACGGTAAGCCTTGGAAATTAAGAGTAGGGCTCTTCTTTGAGACGATATCAGTTTTCTTTTAGGATGGACCTTGGCACTTGCCCATCCCCAAGTGCCACAGGCATAGGTAATTGTAGGTATGAGGATCCTGTCATATATAATAGATATAGTCTTGGATGTGAGTCCCCATTTTTGCTTCGCAATATGAGAAAAAGCCTGGCAGATAAGACCAGTTCGTCCTGTTATATAGTCAATGTGGCTGTCCCAGGACAGCCTGAAGTCCAAAACAACACCCAAGTATTTTATAGTTTTCTCCACTTTAATGGTGATCCCATTCATTTTTAAGAGGGGGGTCTTAGGTATAGATTGTTTTTTCTTGGCTTGTTAANATTTTATTTATCCGATCCATCAGATATTTCCTGTGAGCTTTTGTCGACAACCTACCCTCGGTATTGTCCTCTATGTAGTTGTTGATCTCGTCGATAATCCTGGAGGATTTTTGTAGGAACTTTTCTATGTGGGAGCCTTTACCTTTTGCCATTTCCTTAGGCAGGAAGAGGAAGCCGAAAGCAAGCTTCCTACAGGAAGAGGAACCCGTCGAACAAAGCACTGCGTCTGCGCGAAACCAACGCCGAACGGCTAGAACCACGCCGACCGGCTAATCACCACGTGGAGGAGAAGAGCTTTGTTAACGGTATAGTTTATTCGGACTATATAACTCGTTAACCGTTTGCGTTAGCTGAACGAAAATTTAGTACGACAAAGATGAAAACCTAAAGCTGTCGAATACCAACCAAAGACGGCTCGATGGCAAAAGTGGGGCCCGATGGAGCCCGAACAAAAGCGAAAGTTACGGACGGCCGTAACTAATGAACTACCGAGCGGAATTCAAAAAGCCAATCACTCACGGAATCCTCGTTGATAGTCCTATACAGCAGTGTAATCCTTTTGTCAGTCAACCCTATATTCCCGATGATACGGCGATTGATATTCGGAGCACACATATAAGCATACATACACCATCGCGACCATCCGAGTCTCGAGGATTAAGGAATGTAAGTACACTATACAAAGAGAAATACCATCCACAGCACTCATTAGGAGATAGCCGTAAAATGGGTGAAGCAAGAATTATCAGCCCTTTAAGAGAGAGATTCCTAAAGTAGTCTGGAAGCTTTACAGATTATAAATCAAAACATGAAGGAAATTCAGTGAATCCTAAGGAAGATTTATGAGATTCCTAAACAATTTTAGAGAAATTGAAGGACTTTATATCATTGGTCAAAATTAAAATTATATAAAACAATTTAAATAACCATTATATTACTATTAACAAAATAAGATGAAATAATCCTATAATGTTAAAGTGCAATGTAGTTTGAAATTGAATCTATTTTGCACAATATTCATTATTCTAATTATATTTGAAAGATTGCTCTATAAATAACAGCCTGATGGCGGTCTTAAAAAAGGACCGAAAACATTGACAAACAGTTTAATTAAAAACTCAAGCTAGAGTTATTAAGGTGTGGGCTGTTTTATAAGGTTACTGGATATGTTTATGCCAATAGTTTAAATAATTTAATACAGAAATTGACTGTTTCCTTTATGATTAAGAAACAGTGTTGAATTTCTAAATTCATTTGTCTTTGCTGTCAAATATTATTCTTTATTGTCATTATTAATGATTATAGCTTACTATACTAAGTAAAGAATAAGTCTTATTCAAGATTAGGTTTCTGAATGATATTCAGAACGAATTAACCATAAATGAACAGGTTAATTGGCACAGGTTAACACACACATACACTTCTTTTAAAGTAAGTTCTTCCTGTGGCTGCATATTTTTGCCATTCTGTATCATTTGTGAAAGTAATCCCAGTAGTATATATATATTTTTTTTGCATTAATGTAGCTTTTACAGCTGTTTCTAATTGGAATATGTGATCCTTCAACTTCTCTTATTTTAGAGAACACACAAGTTTGTGGAGGCAAGATCAGGGAAGTAAAGAATTTGGGGAAACACTTTTATGCTCTTCTTAATCAGATATTCATTTATTATGACAACAGTTCTACATATGAGTTGTTTCTGGTCAGTGAATATCTGACTAAGAAGATCATAATGGTGCTCCTCGATCTTGTCTCCTCAGAGTTTGATCTGTTCCCTAAAATGAGCGAGAGAAGTTGGAAGATTCATAGGTTTTAATCTTTACAGGTAGAAGCTTTTTCTTTTCTTTTCAAATAAGCTTTAAAGACAAAAAGGTGAAATTTGGAACCATTTTGACAAATGATATGGACACTGGCAGAAATACATAGTTGTAGGACTTTATTTTTAAGGTAGTGTGATATAAGATTTTGTGTATTGCTTATTAGAATTTATGCCAAAAGAACCTTGTAGTTATGAATGTATTCAGTATTTGTCAAAACATTAAACACATTTAATCAGTTACTAGAACAGTTTCTGCAAAAAAGTTGTTTGGTAAATTCATGTAAAAATATCAAAATTGTATGTTAAGAGACACACAAAAACTAAATCTGAATCTCTTGTACATGAATATTTATTTTATGTTTATTTTTTAGGAACTTGCTTCTCAAAAACAACTAATGGAAGCTGAATTAAAAGTAAGTTTATTCATTAAGATCTAAAAAATAAATTTGTTTTAGTTTTAAATTATAAAAGTATACTTAAGTATACTCAACATTTGTGCAATTTCAGAATTTACTGGTACACACAAAAGCAAAAACTAGTAATATTTAAATTTAAAAACTAGGTAATTAAAGTTTCATTGTAACAGTTTTTAAACCAAAAATGAAGTATTTTAATTGCCTGGTTAAAAGAATAATCAAATATAAAAATCAATTACTGTAATTACTTGTGCCTACATTTACAATCCATATATATAATAAAATTTTTTACTAGATACAACAAACGAGCACCTGAATAATCGGGCTAGAATTTGGGTAATTAAATGATTACTATAAAGCAATTTGTCACTAGAGGGAGACATTAGGCGCCATCACTATTCAGGCGATTGTTGGTTGTATCTATAATCATCAGATGTTTATTATATATAAAATTTTTTGCTGTTTTATAGGAAGAAATTCTAGCAAGAATCTCAGCAGAAAAACGATTAAAAAATGCAGAGGAATCTCTCTGTCATTTAGAGCTCTTGTTAAAAAATAGAACAAATTCTGAAGACTCTATAATTACGGAAATCATGACTGACGTTAAGAATTTAAAAAGTACTTATTTTTAATACAGATTTTTTTTTACTGTTTAAAAGACAGATTTTCATATTTTCATTTCCAAATAGAATATTTTGAAGATGTAGCAGAAGAATGTAAACTGAATGCAGATAAGCCAATGATTAAAATAAGGGATGCTATTTTGGCCAAAAAGAATTGTGTTCAGAAATCTCAATTGTTAAAACTTGAATTAGCCAAACAAGAAAAAGTGGCTTCCGATGGTAAGTTTAAAATATTAATAATTTGTTTTCTGGATTATATCACTTGTAAAAATTTCAAGTAGTCTTGGTTATCCTCTGTAAATAGAATCTGGAAATATGTTTAGTATTATAAAAATCCAATAAAATACATTTGTCTGTAAATGTATTCTATGAAACTCCATTTTCATGTAATGTAATAAAAATTACATTAAAAGTTTAGTTTGTTTTTGACCCTGTGCAACTTAGTGGTATATTAACAGAATAAGTACATTCATTAATAAATAAGTTAAGCACTTAAGCACCCAGATGAATTGTCTGATTACTGTAAAACTTGGCAGAGAGATATGCAAGTGATTACAGTTGTCTGATTGCATGCAGGTAGTGCCACCAGAATGTTTTAAAATTGCTATTCCAGTATTAAGGATCTGCAGAGGCTCACTGTGTTTAGAAGTTTCAGTATACTGTTGTTTGGAGGTTTTTAAATGCCAGGCATGTCTGTATGATGCAATTTTAAGGTATTATGCATAGCTGATAGAGTTTGAGAAAAGCCACACCATTGGATTGAGGGAAACAGAATGGTAGTTTTGCCAAGTTGCCCACATCTGGACAATTCTGACTTGATTGTGACAAGTTATTGCAGGCAGTGGCTATATTGGTACACATGTACACAATGACATGCTTTGGACGTTTGAGACCAACCACTGGGAGAGATGATTGATTGTGACATAAGCATAACAGCTGCAAAAGCTATCTAGAGACAGGTGAAAAACCTGCTACAGAACCCTGTCTTTTCCCGTACCATTAGCAGGCAACCAGCAGAGGCAAATTTATGTGCAATGTGATTACTACACATCCTGTCATTAGCAGCCCAATATCAGCTTCATTTGCAGGGGTGATGTGATGTTACTATGGACTGGTAGTGTATTGTCTTTAACAGTGAATCCAGGTTCTGTTGTAAATGGACACCCACTATATTAGAGTATGGAAGACCACCAGGAGCATGTTACTCCGTCTTCACCATTGAATGGTACACTCTTCCCACTGCCGACATGCTGATATGGGGAGCTTCTGTTGACGTGATAGTCAGTCACCTCAGTTCTCCATTTTTGAAATCCTGCACCCTCGTATTGCCTTTTGTGGTAGGCCTAAAAAAAACCATTTTTCAGCAAGAAAATACTTGACTGCATACGTCTATGGTTTCCTAAGAATGTCTTTTTCTTCTTGTCTTGCCATATTTCCCTGACAAGCCAGGTCCCCAGATTTTTCACTTGTTGATTGTGTGAATTCTGATGGGAAGCCACTTATTATTTATTTTATATATCTTGTTTTGTTTATTTGTACTGTTTTATATGCTTGTTATTAATATTTTATATTATATATATATATATATAACATTTTTGTAATCCTACCATTTGACATGGCACAGCATAGCCTGTATGGTGTTATGCCAAAAAGCACTAATGAACCAACCAACCACTTTCAGCCTTCTAAATATGAGGGTTGTGGAAAGGCAGTTGCAACATTTGTGGGAAAATATATTGCAGGATACATAAGGTGCTTGTCTGCTGCATATATCCAGGCAAGAAGAAGCCTTACATGGTATTGAAGGTTCCTTTAAATTGTACTACTGTCGACAGGAAATTATCCGTTTGCTGTTGTATAATCACTTATGATCATCACACATTTACAGTAATAAAATTTCATTCAATTTCAATGCAGTAAGACACCAACCGAATGCCGTAAATTAATCGGGCTATTTTTATGCTAAATTCTAAATAAATTACGTAATTAATTTGGCACTAGAGGTAAGCGTTAGGCGCCATCTCTTATTAAAATTAATAATTATAAATATATTAATTAATTTAAATAATTTGGAACCGCCGGGAGAAAAAATCGGCCCGGAGCGGGACTCGAACCCACAACTCCTGCTTACCGTGCAGATGCGTTGCCAGTTACGCTA